TTAAGACATTTACTCGTATTTTCAAATGGACTTGAAATAAAAAAAAAGATTATTATTGACATTTGAATATTTTACGTCAACCAATTTTTTTTTAAATGGCATAGGCCGGTAAAAGTCATTAGCCTTACATATTTGGTGAGAGATACGGTACGTGGTTACAGGCCAATGAACAATTAGACCCTATTTCAAATTGCATAAGCCTTTTAGCGACTGGCCTACCATTAATACTTGGTGAGATGCATGATTAAAGACCTAAAGACAGTTTTGAGAAAAACGAAGAGTGGAAATTTAAATTCTTATTTTATCAACCCCATTCCTGATCTCATTCTCAAGGAGATGTTACAGGATTGGAGGAAGAAAAATGAAAAAAACAAAAACAAAAACAAAACAAAACAAAAACAAAACAAAAATCCTCAAGTTGGAAGCGTCTTTCTAAACGTGTCAGTTACAGTACAGTACATGGCGCATTGTATAACATGGTGCCGAAATGTCATTAAAAAAATGGTAATAGACTACAGTAACTATAGGCTTATATATTCGTAGGCATTTATTTATTTTCTCTAAGTTTGGATTGTTCACAGATATATTAAAACCGTGCCGGTACCATGATCGCATCTCCATCCCAACCAATGTTCAACAGGATGGAACACTTTGAATTTTACAAATATAAATTATTACGTTAGTTCGTAGAAGGACCCTCTTAAGAACGTAACAGACATAAATAAAAGCGAGAGGAATATCGCAATAATGCAGAGGAATACGGCATATTTATTGAAATACAAACGTCATAGTAATTAGAAGATCAACATATATTATACTCAATTGAATCTTACGTATCTATCCCAAAGAATCATCATCACTACACGAAATTCCATGATGCATAAGCCTACCTACTTTATCTACCTTGTCATCTGCCAGTTGGCAGGTCCATGATGGAGCAAACTTATAAACCACAACTTTCAGTTTCGTGAAAAAAAAAACAACGACATTCTGTACCATAGGCCTATCCGACGTCATTTATTAAGAAGCCCCCTATAAACAACAATATAATTTTAACGGAAGCGGAAGACTATTAGGCATAAATCTTTTACTCAAAGAAACACAACAAAATACAGTATTATCAATATCTATTCAAACATACGTCATTATGCTGTCAATATTTATGAAAACAGGCCTATACTGTACGTCTTGCTTCGCCTAGTACTAGGAAAACAAAATGCTTAGTAAACCAAATTTACTACGGTACTCAATAGAAAGTTGTTTGGGTGCAAATTAGTTGCTGCAATTTCCTTTCAAAATACTTATACAGTAATAAGCTTAACTGTATTCCTTCGGGTTTCGTTATGAAATCGTATAAAAAAAGGTCTTTCGATAATTGGGCCTACCAATTGCTACTTGACGTCGAATATCTGTAGTGAGAACTTCAATATAAAATAATTAAGCTTATCATATATATATATATATATATATATACATATATACATAGGCCTTTATTTATATATACATTTATATTTATATACATTATATATAATTAATTAATTAATTATTATATATATATGCTACACGATGTATTATATGTCCTTTATTCGAACGCTGTATTGACCTTTCTTTGATGATTTATGTATATATATATATATACATTATATATAATTTAACAGTGTTAACTGCTATCTTGATTAATATTATATATATATAAACATATTTTATATATGTATATATTATATATATAAACTTATATATATATATACACATATCTTAATACATATATAAACCTATATATAATTGTATTGTCTTGTTTTAATTATCATTATCATCTAAATCATGAAGTGGAACCGTAGCTTAGTGATTAAAGTGAGGATCCGGAGGAAAAAAAAATGTTGTTGTACTGTACAACTGATTTTTCTAAGACACAAAAATTATATTTAACAAAGAAACTCGGAAGCAGTTAATGAGACACAGATTTTTGAATATTTAAAAACTGGGAAAATAAGGGGGCGTAACCACCTTTCCCCCAGTTTTGAAATATTCAAAAATTTGTATCTCATTAACCGTTCCCGTGTTTTCGTGTTGTGTGTTAGGAAAATAAGTAGTACAAATATATATTTTTTTTCTCCAGAGCCTGACTTTACGATGCTTGCCTTCAAATCCCAGTCCTATCACAGCAGGGTTTGTTCTCAAGACGAAAATTAACTACACTTCCTAGGCCACAATAAGAGACGGTTTATAAAGCATCGTTCCATCATGTCGGTGGCAAGTGTACTTGCAGTTGGATGTGAAGAAAAATTATAAAAATATCATCATCAGCATAACTTTCATCATCATCATTATTATGATCATTGTCATTTTAAAATACAATAGTGATAAGTTATTATTAACTAGAAAACAACTCATTTTAACAAACTATACTAAAGCCATACAAAATGCACAAAAGCCTTATTGCATGTATTACTGATAATATTTATTCAAACATAGGCCTAGCACGTCAACTAAGAGAAAGCTCAGAAGTACCACCAAAATTCACTCAGGTGAAAATGATGTGGGCGTTAATGTGTCTTCCAGAATCATCACTTAAAATAAATTCCAACCAAATTAACTCATTATATGATGAAATAGACCACAACTTGCAGTTTCGTTAAGAAATCATGTGAATCACTTGGGACAACATTACCTATAACGGTACGGTACCTACAATCAACTTACTGCATTCTTACGAATCAATAATCAAACTATAGAGGGCGTTTCAAAACTTATTTGGTCAGAGAATCAAAGATTACTGTATACTGTGTGATAAATCATCGGAAGACACAGCTAGAACACAATTAAAACATTTAATTGCGTATTTATCAACTTTGATTGAGACATAAGTTAAAAATAACCAAGTTTTCGATGATTTACAGACTTTTTACTGCAAGAAAATTTCACTAGACAATAATGAGACAAAGATCATAGGAATGGTAATATTTATGTACCGTAGTCACTGAAAAATAGTTGCTAATTTCAATTTGCAATGGCCCTTTTTGTTAAGCCCTGCTTCTTAGACATTGTTGCTAAGGTCCAACAAAAATACCATAAAACCTCGAATTGAAGTCCTGGGCTTCTTTTTTTTTTTTTGTAAACTTTGGATGGGCTTCTTTTAGAGGCTACTTTTGCAAAGTAAAGAGGGGACTTTATTTCAAAATGAATGCTGTAAATTCTGAATTTGTACTATAAAACAATAAATAAGGTCAATGTAACATCAATCTGTATGATGGAATGTATTCAACTGCCATCAAATCACCTAAACTATCGTATAAACCAAGCTTGTTTTTAATTTGTTTTGTCTTTTGTTATTCATGTACAGTGACATGTACTGTACTAACGCGAAAAGAATCCTACGCTATCTTGAAAAGAAGCCAATGGACTTCTTTTCGAGGCTAATTTTACAAAGTAAAGAGGGGGCTTCAATTCGAGATGAAGCCCACTGGGCTTTTTAATACGTGGTTTTACGGTATAGCAAATACGTGCGTTTGTATATGTTTGTAAAACGCGCGTATTCCTGACCCTGTCCTGACTGGTCAGTTGTTAAGTTTGATTGACACTTGAGAAAGGTCCACTGAAAAGCCAAATAACTTATAAACAAATACTGTAGCTACAAAGCAAGCAATTTAAATACTGAATTTATTTATTTTTCAGTCCAATACAGAGAGTATAACCTTAATTCCTTACCTCTATGGTTGTCAATCAATTATTTTTTCTATGTACAATTCAGCTTAATTTTTTTCTTCAAAATACAAAAAAATATACATCAAAAATTATCTATATGTACATGTATTAACATTCTATTTACAAACAATACAAAACACTTGATGTAATAAGTAATAGAAATTGGTGGGATAAGTGAATCACTATGGGAATACAACAAAAAGTTAATTTGAATTTGTTAGTAATAAATACTTCTGAGGTGCGAGATTATACAAGTCTGAACATATGTATTGTTCAGGATAAAACAAGTATATATATCAGGATAATGTGGGTGGAATACTGATTCAATTTGCACTTAAATCTTCCCTCAAGAATACAACTGAATTCTATGTCCTCTAACTTAACAATTCAAAAACAAAATCATTGTGTGCAACGTTGAAAAATGTATATGAAATTTATCAACCATTGTCAAATATCCTGTAATTTGCCCGTATATGGGAATGATGATGTCATATCACATCCATAATATGGGAAAAACACATACATTTCTCATATAAAACTTGATAATGTGGATATAATTTTTTTCTTTATGTGCAATTTGTAAAAAAAATGTGCCTATTAAGGAAGGTTATACATCATTGATTCTGGCCAATGATGGTGTGGGGGTGTGTATGACATACAATGAATGACGTAGTGGACATGTAGATGTACCACGCAGTCTCGCGTAAATGTCTCCTGACCTCTGTAGACACCTACGCAGACACACCCCCACACACACACACATGCAGACTGGAAAAAAAAAATTCAATCTGAAATACAAAATCTCTGATATGAATCTCATAGATTATTTCTATTGAACAGGGGCTGGATAACAGTACAGAAAAGTTGCGTATAAATCAGGGTCACGCAACCAATCGAAACACACAATAGCAAATATAATATGGGTTATTTGGTACATGACCGTGAACCGAATCATGTTAACAAATATTTCACAGTAGAACAAATGTAGAACAAATATAAGGTTCAAAACGGGATATTATAAGTAGTGATCATATGTTAAATAGTCATAACCTTGTTGCAATAGCAAAAATGTTCTTCTACAATGAATAAGGCAAACTTCCTACACTTAACAAACAAACTGATTCAGTCAAAGCCAAACTGTTTATCTAGTTAATCTGCTAAGAAGGGCTAATTATTGCTTAGCTCCATTGCTGTCTCTTATACACATCTAGATGTGTATAAGAGACAGGTGTATATATGTATACAGTGTATATATATATATATATATATATATATATATATAAAATATTTGCAAAAAATTTATACTTTTCATACTTTGAATACGCTGGCATCGAGCCAGAGTATTCAAAAACTAGTAAAAAGACAATATAAAATATATATAATACATACAATATATATTATATACATATATATAATATGGATTCTCTAACTACGGCATAAACATGGTGGGATCTAGCATCCACCTTCATAATTAGTCTCTTCCTCACTCCGTTGGACGTACTTGTAAAGTTATCTTCTGTTGATTATCAAGTACCTCTCGCAGCTTGTCTTCTGTCATCGTCAACCGCTGTTCAAGAATATTAACTGTCTGCAAAGAACAGAAGAGAAGCCGATGAAAAACAATGAAGCATTATTAGGAATGCAAATCAATTTAAAATGGCCCATGGTGCAGGAACTTCAAAATGCATCATCTCTCTGACACATTCGAAAAAAACTGCGCCTAACATCTTGATCTGAAAAAGATGAGGGGCCAAAAAAAGGGCCGCCTCCACTGTTCTGTTTTTTTGTTTTTTTGTTTAGAATGTTTGGACATAACAAAAATTATTTACTGGACAAACGAACCTGAGTAAGTACGTCCAACTGGCCAACTATAGTCTCCAGAGTTTTGGAGAGTCCTGGTGGAATCTCTTTCACCTCCAAAGGTGCAGTGGCAGAACCTTGAATCATTGACACATCTGGAAAACCTGTTCCTCCTAACCCCCGCCTCTCTTGATCTGCAGATGTGATCCCAAACTCAGCAAGAGATGGCTGGTCCATCTAGAATGAAAATGATACACGTAAACAGTTAAAAACGTTATAATGTTTATAGAAATTAGTGATTTAGTTTATAAGCATGAATGATAGTTCATGTCAATTAAATGTTTGTCAGGCTGTACTGCAATATTTTATTATACAACCAGCCAAAAAAAAAAAAAAAAAAACCTCAAAAATTAAAATAAACCATTGAACAATTTACTGATAAAAATGAATTTTATTTAAAAAAATATATTAATTAAAATTTTTCTTTGTAAATATTTTCTTTATTTTACTTTTATTTAACCTACATCTCAAAGATGCTTTGGCCTTGTGTTTATTATTGATATAAACTATTAATTCTGTCTGTATTGTGAGAAGCTGTAACAAACAGATCTGGTTTTTATTATTTCAAAAGACATATGTAATTCAGAGTATTTCAATTGTTATTTAAAAGATCTTGAAATTCAAAGAAATCTCTTGGAAAATATCATCAATAATCTACGATAGTTCACAACATCCAGGTAGGAACAGCCTTCAATTGAATTGACAGAATCCATGATTAATAACTCCAGCAAACAACTGCGGAATTAACTAATAGTGATCTAATGAATGGTACGGTATTCCTCATGAGATGAGGCCGTGGATGAACTCGTTTGGATGTGACATTAACAATGGGACATGTAAATTAACTTGACATATATTTTAATAGCTACAGATATTACGTTTTAATGATTGTGAAAACAACATGCAGCAGTGGATTGAAGATCAGTGAACCCAAGTTCTAAGCAGCTCTCACAGTCGATCGGTCTCTACAGAGTTTGATACTGTGTGTGCGTGTCGAATCGGAGACGTCGCCACACTCAGAATTGTGGCTGGTCTCCTCCATCAATCCATTAAGTAGTTTTTATGTAGCAAAGTTGAATAAGTTATCCATCACAATCCCAAAATCATAAGTTTTCATCAGTTTAGAAAATTCATTATTATCATAATAATCATCTTTATCATCATCCTACATAATACATATAAATACAGTTCTATATCTAATTAAAGACCCTCCAATTAAAGACCACCTTTCTGTGGTCCCAAAAAATTAACCCCGGTCCCAAAAGTGGTTTTAAATTGGATGGAGACCTGAAATATATACATACATATACATTTTGGACACTTCTCTGCATATACCTTAATCAGTGATAAAACACGCTATACAATTAAATATTCATCCAATATTCTCGGAAATGTTGTTCCTAACCAAGAGCTAAATGTGACTAGATTCAACTGTCTGGCTCCTTTTGTTAATTAATAATTTAGGTCAAATTAATTGATGACTAATTGCGACAGGATGATCATAATCCAGATGCGGATATGATGAATGAACAAAATTTGAAAAGTTTAATGTCAACAACGATAAATGCATTATTAATTATTCACTGAAATTTACTAATGATGAAATCGGTTGATTAGTATGCATGGTTTTGCATGCAAAAAACTAGAGTACATTGATGTGTCTGGTCTGGTTGTCGTTGCCAACCACGCAACTTTCAATGCAAAATACATGGAAGTTAGAACAATTGTCGCCAACAACTAAGTATGAAAAACAACAGGGAAAGTGGCTGGCACTGCAAATTAAAAATTAAATAATGGAGATAATTTTTAATTTACAGTAACTTGTATTTTGTTGCATGATATGGATTTATGTGTGGATGAATAAAGATATTGAAAAAATTGAATTAACAGACTGATTAAACCATCATAAGGGATCATATAAATTCTATCATCTTCCATTGCAAAGATACAGATCAAAATAATTCTGTTCTTATGATTTACTGTTTTTGACTAAAAAAAAAAAAAATCATTTTTTTTCCCCTGCCAGCCAATATGGGATAATGAGAAGAATTAGGAATGATTGCAACTAATTAACTGTCATGGAAAATATTATTTCTGATTGCAGTTTTCAATTGAAGAAAGTGGATAAATACACAAATTGAGCATTTCAATATCACTTAGCAGCTAGACACAGTGTATTATCATCTTTAATAGTTGTTTACACAGAATGATCACTGGAGCAGCAGGAGGAGAGTACAATTTTAGCTTGTGTTAATAGCCGACAGCTACACGAATCAAATCATTACAAGATTGATCTATCAGCGGATGTTGCTTTGACATAACGGGAAAATATTATTCAATGGCAAGGTACGCAGACTATATAAGATTAACTATTAAATTGTGCATATCAAGAACAGGCGTGGGCAAGTGTCGCTGTAATGCCAACAACAAGTAATTTAGTTTTTATGTGAGCCTTCACAAAAATATGTGTGTAAGAGATGTACACATGTGTGGCTATGTCTTAAATCAATAGGCACATTAATCTGTTTAAATGCCAAGTTCTAACTGGAGGGGCATAATGGTAAATTTAGACTTCAATTAAATTGAATACTATTATTAACTAATAATTAAAACAAAAAACTATTTTCCTTGTTTCGAATTTTTGTCTACTAAGAAACATTTATTTAACATTTATCACATGTATATTTATGAACGATTCTATGTTAGGTACAACAAATATCTCAGAATTTATTATTTTGACAATAAAGTTGTATCTTGTGTGTATCTTTTTTGCAAGAACCTTCATTTGGCTAGTAATCAACTTCAGAATTTTTCTAGTTAAAGAAAATCACTAAATTTGGAATTTGATAACTAATTTAATATTATTAAATTAGCAATATGCATGAAACAAATTGTTCCATAACAATTATATTTAAAAAAAAAAGATACCAACCATTCCTTAAATCATCTGATTAAGCACAGTCTACTTGTGAAATCATGCATGTGTAATAATAAACTTATTAGTAATAGAGATACGATAGTTGTGCAACCTTTGTTTTATTATTATCTGTACGTGATTAACTAACACAGCGTTTATGATACCTATCTTGGTTACCATCCAACCACAAGTATGCATTCTCTACTTTGTGTAATCTTGTACACAATCGAGGACATAAACCAAGCTATTATGCTCACTGACCAAAAATAACACAGTTGGCCGCTAAAACGAATATGACAATGTTAAACCGTGCTGCACATTATGAGCGATATACTTAGTGCCTTCTACTACTGCACGTGACACCAGGTCCCGCTTTATAACACATGGTAATACTACCTTCTGGGGTTTCTACGAGACTTGATCAATAATAATGATGATCACTGTGACCTAGTTATGCTAATCGGATGCATCACCCCCGGCTAGGATTAACGTTTATCCAGAAACTATGCCACATATCAACGTATGTCTTCACCTTCGTTTTCACTCCTCAATCAATATCAATTTTGTTTTCTTCCCCTCCGCGTGTTTAATGATTTGTAAGCCTGAAATTGCACATTTAACTGGATGGTTTTAACGCTTCTTTGTAATCACTCACAGTTTCTAGATTATAGGCTTCAGTGTAACAGGCACAAGTTTCAAATTTGAAGACATTTTTGTGCCAACTTGACAATATACAAAGTTTGTTTAATTTGTGAAAACATTTGCATACCTTGTGTAACATAAGACCTGCTTTTATGTAGCACTATATAAATCCGGAATTACTTATTATAATAATCGCACACAAATACAATTCAAGTATTGGTGTTTTTATAAAAACTATAATGTACTTTATTGGTGTGTACTTTTTATCATAGTCTATTTTAAAACCTCTACACTACTTTATCCGATTAGTTCTTAAGAGACTCATAAGTTACATGAACAATTGACATAATAGTTTTTCGTGCATACCAAGTACTTCTATGTAAATCTAACCGGAAAACTACATAAGTCAGATAATTAATCTGTTTTTATATAAAGCAAATTACAATGTGTCTTTAAGAACTTAATCTTTGTAAACAAAAATGTGACTATTAAGGCAGGATTTGAAAACTTGAAGTGAATTATTAGTTTTATATTTATAGTGATTACATAATCTCAACAGTATTGACATATTTTGTGAAATTTGCATTCTATTTTAAAAAAATTTGTTTAAAAATTACTTATAAATTATTATCTAAACATAAGAAAAGGGTAATATCAGAAATAAAGTGTCTAACTCTCACAGTTTTGCACAAAATGAACTTAGTTTTATGGAAAGAATTAATTCAATGGGATTAAAAATTCTTACACAATAATGGAAGTCTCAGATCCATATATTTGTAAACTCTTGGGATTGGAATAACAATAATGTGACATTTATACAGCCATTGCAATAAACTGCCTCCATGCGCTTTACATTACTACATCTGGTCACTGGACCAAACACCCATAAAACACATTCTCAGCTCCCAGATCAATTTGCAGATAGAATCAGCGCTTGGTATTAGATCTTACCAGCCCACTTATGCTCCTGAGCGGAGGTAGGTGAACGTAGATAAAGTTAGTGGCGTATCTAGAAGTCTTGAAATGTTGGTGGTCTCTTATACACATCTAGATGTGTATAAGAGACAGTGGTAATACTANNCGCAAAATTGGTGATTTTAGGTGATTTTTAACTACTTGACCGTGATTTTTGGGGGCAACTGGGGGGGGGACGCAAGTAATTTCTTTTGGGAGGGGCATGAGTCCCCCCATAGATACGCCACTGGATAAAGTGCCTTGAACACAAACACAAGGGTATTGCACAGTGAGGATTTTGAAACCCCCTCTACCACAAGGTTGAGGTGGGGGAGGGGGGCACAACTGCTTCCGAGCAGGCAACTTAAGATGACTGCAACAATGCATTAAGTAATCAAGTAAAGCACCATCCAGACTATTAAGTTTTATGTGTCAAAGTTGTATGATTTGCTCATATATGGGCAAGATAATACCATATCACACCCACATGGACAATCATTTGTGGGTGCAAAATAATTAACTGGAAATGTTGAAAAATATTTATATATGTGTATGTGAGGATGCCAGTATGAGTCAATCTACATCTCTATAAATAAGTTCAATGTGATGCAATTTTGTAGGACAGGTGCAAAACAATGATAAAAAATATTGATATTAAAATTATCATATTTTTCAATGGTTTTTCCAAAGCAATCAAAATCTTTATACTACATAAAATAAAATGTAAACAAAATAAATCATTTCTAGAATAAGATATTTTGTTGCTTGTAGTTCAATAAAAAAATGTGGAACTCACATAAAATATTAATTATTATCTGGCAGAATGCCAAGATATCCTTTTAAAATACAGTACAATGTTGAATTAGGGTTCGTTCACAATTATCAAAATTTTCACAAATGTACAAACAGTACGCTGGGAGGTGGGGAGGGGGTAGATAAATCTGTACATATGCATGAAAATGTTGATTGAAAATGTCATGCAATATTTAAAATATTAGATTTTCACGACCAATTAAAATGCAACCATTGGTTTTCATTTTCATGTAACCAAAACATTTGACTTCACAAAAAAAACAAAAACATGGAGAATGGTTTTTCAAAAATAACATTTGCTTATGTACACTTTCAGAGGAGAGGGATGGGATACCAAAAAAAGTACTCTTTGTACACTTGTGAAAATATTAATAATTGTGAACGACCCCTTAATTATATACTGTAGAACTGTCTCTTATACACATCTAGATGTGTATAAGAGACAGAGATAATACCATATCACACCCACATGGACAATCATTTGTGGGTGGAAAATATTAAACTGGAAATGTTGAAAAATATTTATAATGTGTATGTGAGGATGCCAGTATGAGTCAATCTACATCTACATCATAAATAAGTTCAAATCTGGCTACAAATTTTCCCTCAAATGAATGACCATTTTTGGGACTCAGTTTTCCAATCTTCAGCAAACTTTTGTCTCTAATGACATAAATTAATATTATAAGGATAAACGATAGTTGTTATTTTTGGGCAGGAGATTACTGTACCTTTAATTGGAGGTGGTCTTTAATGTGAAGAACCTTTAATTATATAGAGATCTGTATTAATTTCATAATTCCATATAAAATATTTCCTATAAAGCTAAAACTCAGGATGTTCTAAACTTTACTTCTTAAACTCAATTAAAATACTGAATCTACTAAATTTAAACTTCTAACAAGATAATGAACAAAGACATTTATTTTATATATTGCTTTATATCATTTCATCTTCATCTTCTATAGTGAACTGCCTACTGTGGGTCTGACATTATTTATGCTCCTCTAAATAAAAAGTTATCTGTACATGTAGACAAACAATTCCAATGTTGAAATATTTTTTTAAATAAAATTTATTAGCTAAACAGACATTATATCCTTAATCTGCAAATAGAATAAAAATAAGCTGAATCTAGCAAGTACTTAAAAAGCATCTGTTTTTCAGTGTAGTGGTTTATTCCGGGAGTTATGACAGGAAATGCTTAAGTAAAGTATGCTCTTAGTAGCGGGTGTGCGGCGCTGTCACTATTGCTTCTGTATGACATGTCCCTGTGGTCGCTATTCAAATTCACTTTGCTCGATCAAGTGTGACATCACTTAAAGTCATCCTCAATTGTATCTTTTGAATATATATACAGCTTCCTAATGGTAACAACCTTAAATGGACCGACATTGAAAGTGAAAGATATAGAGGGTAAAGAATCGAGGACTGCAAGTTGACTTCCTTGAATGAACTTGACACGAAATCGGCAAAAATTAAAATACGCGACTTGAATTCATGGGGTACTGCCAGGGAAGCAGGGGAATCGGTTTCAAAGGTACTTATTAATTGTGGAAATTCACGTACTTGGAACTTTCCGAATTCCTTAAATAATCTTGATGTTAAATCAGCAAAATTTAAAAACACAATTGAATTTGTGACGCACTGTCGAGGAAACAGGACAATAAATAAAAACGAATATAACAATAATGATAATAATATTTCCACTTTTAAGTGCACCTATATCATAAATTCTGTAACAATACTTAATTGCTTTATTTATCTATTATCATAAAAAGAAATTTAAAAAAAAAATTCACATAAGGGGAGGTGACTGACTTGTAATGCAATTATTGAAGTCTCATTTCCATAATCCTGAGGCGATTATTACACATAGGATTGAATTATTGCATTCAAATATTGTCTGGTACCCTCAGGCTAATTAATTTCTTGTAACAATCGCCATCTAGTATAATATTTGGTTTGATTATATTAATATATATTGCAGATAATTAACCAATACTTCAATGATAAAATTAAAAAATCATACAAAATATGAAAGTTTACCTTTGGTTGTGAAAACAATGCTGGTCCTATGTTAGTAACATTAGGTGTTCCTGCTGTCATATTCTTTGGCACCTTGCCGGCATCAACTTCTGTTGGATTTTGAGTGGCCGATGAGCGGTACAACGGTGATCGTGGGTGGATGTCGTGAATATGTGGTGGAGGGGCGTGAGTTTGAGTCCGTGCTTTATGCGATTCCAAGACCTCACTGTAATCAATCTGGTCAAAATTTGTCTTCCAAACCATCACCTAAATACAGAAAACATGAATCAAGATGCAGAGTGATAATACTACTAAATTCTAGTACAATTCAAGACCACCTTTAGGACCCTTCAAATTTGGGGTGGTCTCAGAGTGCGGTCTCCAATTAGATGGGGAGCTATATGTTAAAAAATTGAAGACTCTGTTAAAAAATTGAAGATTATTATTTAGTTCTTTGAAAAAGTGGTGCTAAATTAGAGGGGTCTCAAATTGGACAGTTAACTGTACTAAAGTGTAAACCCCTATGCTGGGGTTTTTGCGCAGTAAGTAACAAGAAAATAAAAATTGAATCAATCTTCTAAATAAAATTTCTTTTTTTTTAATGAACAATTACTGAGCTCTTCAATTTTTAAAGAGCGCACTATTAGCTAGAAAATTATCAAATACTCCTCCAGGGAGCTGTGTATTTGTTTCATGGGCATCTATTTCAATGATGACTAAGGTAATAATGAGGAAATGCATAGAAATATGCGCTATAAACCTTGACGTGATTAATAAACGTGCTCTGCATACCACTCAATGTGTATGTAGATGAATAACCCACATTTCAAACACATTCCAGACCCTAAGCACACAGAACCCCCAAACAGTCTATCTTATAACACACAGGCAGTATTTTTTACTTTATTCAAACTTTTTCTTGAAACATAATAAAATACAATCAACCACATTATCGGTAGTAAACAAATAGGATAAAATCAGATATTCTAAGTACAAACACTACACCCCAAAAACAATACATAAACAGAAATGCCAAACGAAATGCACAAACAATCCAGAACATCAACCCAGTCAACTCTTAAGATTCATAGCATGCGATTCCCAACTCTGACAAAACAAAACATACACACATATTAAACTAATCATTGACACTTCATAAATTCATGATTACAAATGACAAGACGACAAGGTTTTCAACAGATCACATATTTTGAGATAATGAATATCATCTCAAAACCATGCCAAGTACTATCTGAATCCAAGCCAAACAGGATCTTGCACTTGCCAAAAAATTGAAAACCATAGTACATAAGATGACGGCTTTAAATTAGTTCTGGTCAAAATTATTAAGAGTACAATGCATGAAATATTTTTTTTGCGGAAGTTTGTTGGCAAACAAATAAAAGTTGTTGATAGCATGTTAAAACTCTGATCACACTATCAGATTTTATGTGACAAATTTGTGTGTGTGCCCATATATGGACATCATGATGTCATATTTCATTCAAATATGAGCATATCGCATTTATTTGTCACAAAACGTTTGATTGTGTAAACAAAGCTTTAGAAAAATCACCAATACTAGAGCGCTAACAGCAATGTATTCGATGTTCGAAATACGCAGAGCTGTGTGTGTGTGTACCCTGTCTCTTATACACATCTCACAGGTAAAATGGAAATTCTTTTTCCACTGGCAAAGAACATGAAACATCAAAAAAACATTATAAAAACATTAAAACACACCAGAAGGAGAATATAAACTAATAGTCTTAAAAAATACTTAAAAATGATCTCATCTTAAGTAGTATGTTATTTTTATATTTTAAAAAAAAATGGCACTTTAGAAATCAGTAGTGTATGTGCATTTTTAAATACAAGACATCATCTTTTGATTCAAGTTGCCTAAAAAAAAACACCCATGGCACTTTTGCAGTCACTAAAAGTGAAAGCATTGAGTTGAGTGTTTTGAAAGTTTGGAAATTCAAAATTTAAATTATCTACATTAGGAGAGAATATGTTTCTAGTAAATTCCATTATATTTTTAGATTTTGAAAATCATTGTTTTAATTACTCAACTTAATAAGCAAATTACAGGCACTTTGAACACTCATTCAAAATCAGAATTTATGTATTAAAGGGTTTTTGTAAGGAGAAATTTTCATTAATAAACATATGCAAGTGATTTATGCTTTAGGAAGTTTAATTACAACGATCTAATTAAAAAGAAAGTTAATTACAACGATCTAATTAAAAAGATAAATCTATATATAAATAGATATTTTTGGCATGTAGGTCATCACATACAGCAATCAAGAACCTCCTGTTTCACTTTTACTTGCCATGATTTTGGGCTGCAAACTTTAAAAGAGGATACTGCCAAATAGTTTGGACAGTTCCATTATTATTAGGGGGGGAGTTAAAACTTGAGACAAAAGCTAACCTGTTCATCAGCGCCACCAGAGCCAAAATATTCACCAGTTCTAGAGAATGCTGCTGCTGTTGCTGCACCCTTCGAATAAAAAATAAAACAGATGGTGGTTTTAAGGTAGTAAATAATAGATGATAAGTACTAATGCGACAATAGACATGTTTACACACAAAATGTGCATGCCAGGAGTATAACTAATGTATGTGTGTGACCACATAACCATTGTTAAAACAATAAATGTAACAGCACTTAAGAATCAATAAGGGGTGTAACTCCTAGGTACATTTAAAAGCTACTATAAACACTTAACCTGTGATTTGTATGGAGATAAATTTGTATTCTATCCTCAAAATTATATACAGATTGAAAACTGTATAATTATATTTTTTAAGTTCTGCTACTCTTGCATTCTCAGTTTGAGGCATGGGCAGCTTAGATACGGGGTCTATTTCTGATGCTTCCCAGCAGGCATGATATTAAGGTACTGGCACATAAAGTACTATGCAAACAATTTTTAGCGCAATGTTGGAAGGGGAGAAGGGAGGAAGTTTAATACAGGTAGTAGAATGAAGGCCATGTGACTTTTACAGAAGCTGTAATATAGAAAGTAATTTCAGCGGCATAATGGAAGGGCGGACATTTTAGCACTGAAAGTATTGATTGAGAGGATTTAGTATGTGTGACAGTGTTTTGTTAAATAGATGGTATAGTATGATAACTTAACAAAGCAATACTGGAGTTATGGACAGGGGTGATAATGTATAAAGAGTTGAAAATGGTGGATTTTGATGAAAACCTGACTTATCTTGCTTAATAATCTATCAAAATTAACTTCACAACCTGCTTTTAATTCCTGATGGAGAAAGTTACCTGATGTCCATGTAATGTGTAGAAGAGACGACCTTCAAGAAGATCCAGTACTTTAAGGGTGGAGTCATTAGAAGCTGATAGAAGATAATTGCCCGTGGGATGAAACGAAACGCCGTTGATCGCTCCGCTGTGAACTGAAACAACATGAACTTGCCATTAGCGACTTTGCTGTCAATCATGAGACAGAAATAAACACTTGGGTATATAAAAATTAGAAAATGACAGGCAAACTCTGTAATTGACATATATCACTGCTCAACCACAATCTATTAGAATGATTAAAAAATTCCTGAATAGGAAAAAGACAAAGAAATGCACTGGATACAGGATACTTTAGTATTCAATCAATGTCAATTTTTGAATTACAAAAAGAGCAAATGGTAATATCGTGGTGTAGGTGGCGATTAAGGTACTTGCCTTCTAGTCCCAACGCCAACGGTTCAAAAGCAATGATTACTTCCCCCCACCCCCAACATCATCAATAAGCTTTCAAGAACATTTATTTTGTTACACATTTATTTTAATCACCACAGTATTCCAATAGCAAAGCTGATTATTTGGGTTTATAACCAAAGTTGCTTTATTTATTCTTGAGGAAGGGAGTTGCTTTTTGCTCGAGCAAAAATAAATAAATCCCAAGATTTTTTGTCACTGCATTGAACCAAGGACATTTGGATTTGAAGGTGGGTGTCTTTACCACAAAACCATAGCCAAATTATCTACTCCCTATAAAACACAAGAGAACTGATATGATGCTCATAAAATACCTAAATAATAATACTCAAATCCTTTAATATACCTTGATAGTGTTGTAGCAACTTATTCATGCGAATGTCCCAGACTTTGACAGTGTTATCTGTTCCTCCAGCAGCAATGCATGTGCCACTGGGGTGAAATGCTACACAATTCACAAACCTAAACAAAAACAAACAATACCAAAATCTCTGTATAACATACAAATAATTAAATGTAGCATAGCTCTGATGCATCACCCAACACAATGATATATACTAGCTATATAAACTAGCAAAATACATTTTCAAAATAATAATAAACAAATTTAGGTAATCAGATTGTTTTTGTGCTGAATTTTCAAGTACATACATTTATGAATTATGTATATCATTAAAATTTGTTTTAATATTTTAAATGTATATTTTAATTTAGCAATCTCATTGTTATCAATATTTTTTTTTAAATATTCAATTATATATTAACTTTTGTATACTTTGAGTTGATTCCACTGATTAATACTTCAAATTTATTTTTTAATTTCGTAATTTGATTGTTATTATTTTTTTAATAAAAAAAATCAATTATTTATTAACTGTTGTCTTTGATTCCATTGATTAATATTTTAAATTTATTTCATAATTTAGTATCTTATTGTTATTCATTGTTTTTCTGAAAATATTCAATTATATATTATTCAACTGTTATGTCTTAAACTTCAAGTTATTGATTCTACTGGTGGAATAGCAAATGCTTTTTGTAATATAGTTACTTGCCATTAGAATAAATTAGCTATAATCTCAAAGAATATTTTAAATGTAGTTTTTAAATTTAGTAATCTCATTATTATTAATTTTTAACAAATATTAAATTATATATTAACCGTTGTCTTAAACTACAATTTGATTCCACTGATATTTATTTTAAATTTATTTTTTAATTTAGTAATATTATTGCTATTCATTGTTTTTCTGAAAATATTCAGTTATACATTATTCAACTGTTATGTCTTCAACTTCAATTTGATTCCACTGATGAAATAGCAAATGCATTTTGTCTTATAGCTACTTGCCATGAGAATAAATTAGCAATAATCTCAAAGAAATGACAGAGTGTTACCTATTTTACAATTTACTGACTGACTTTACCCAGAACTTGGTTATTAATCATTATTAATCGCAATGCGGAATGAGGCGATTCCTCTGAGGAGGGAGGTTGTTAGCACCTTGAGATATGGATCATAAAGAAGCAACCGTAAAAAATCATTAAAATTGACATTTAGCTACCGTATGGTATTTCTCAGTAATAAGAAGTATTTTAAATTACATTGCTGCTTTGTCTTCTTAAATATAAATGCCTTCTTAAATATAAACTTCACTGCACAGGTGTATTATCTATACACATTGATTTTTTAATGAAGTTTTCTATGACTATAGGTAATAATGGGAAGCACTGTTAGTGGAAGGTGCTGCAAACATTTAAAGTATCAGTATATTATAATTATTACTGTCATTGGAATTGTCATTATCATATCATCATTATTATTGATTTTGTTATACTCATCACTATTATCAATATAATTTTCAATAAAATCATCATCATTAATATGGTAATATTTTTTTCATCACTATTATTATCATTATTGTTATTATCAGTCACTAGAGACTTGCAACTTGGTTTGCTAGATTCTAAGTTGAATAACATGTGTGTTCACTAGCCTGTGAGATTGTAACACTCAGTTCAGTACTTCAAATTTATTGTGACTTGACTAGCTTGTGAGTTTCTTAGTCGATGAGCTTACTTGCCTATTGGTACTGTATACTTCTAATACATTGTAGTATAAGTTAGTTTATTGCTAACCTGGTATTAGTTTACTAGCCTGTAACTTAGCCTATTAGTTTACTACTAACCAATAATTTACACAGCCTGTGAGTTTAATAGCTTATGAGTTTCTAAGACAAAGTAGTAACTAAACCTGACTTTACTAGCCTGTGAGTCTCCTATTATTTATTAGCTCAAGTTTATAAAACATTAACCTAAACCTAACTAAACCTGACTATAAATAGCCTGCGAGTCTCCTAGTCGATGAGTTAACTTGCCTATTGGTATACTACTAACCAATAAGTTTACTACTAACCTAGTATAAGTTTACTGTTAACCTAGTATTAGTTTACTAGGCCATTAGCTTACTACTAACCTATTATTATACAGCCTGTGAATTTATTAACTCAAGTTTCTAAAACATTGGTATCTAAACCTGTACTAGCCTGCGAATCTCCTAGTCGATGAGTTAACTAGTCTATTGGTATAATACAAGCTATAAGTTAACTACTAACCAAGTACATTATTTTACTAGCCTGTGAGTTCCTGAGTTTACTAGCCTATTAATTTACTATAGACTAAGTGATAATGCCACTAAACATTGTTTCTGCTGTGGATATTGACGCTTTTTCAAAACATTGTTGACAGACTGATTGATTGATTGATTGAGCTTATTAGTTTACTACTAGCCTCTTAGCCTGTGAATTTTGTAGCTTGGTGAGTATCCTAGTCCACAAATTTATAGCCTATAATAGTTTACTTGACTGAGATTACTAGACTATGAGTTTATAAACGTACCAGATCAAATTAATTGGTTTACTAGTCCATCCATCAACAGTTTGTTACTTAACTAGCTTAAATTTACTAGCCCATGAGTTAGTTAGCTTGTTAGTTTACAAGCCTGTAAGTTAAACGTTACTTATATGACAATGGCCTGCTATTTTTACAGTGTTCATCTGCGACTATATTGAGCGTCGAAATATATTGAAGCGGACACTGAGTAACGGTGAGCAATGGCAGAATTGATTCTATCCGATGTATGTCACTGACACTGTGTCAACGACATCCGCATAAAGGGAAGTAACTCATCAACGAAAAGATAGTGACTAATAGATACAATAACACAAAATTACAACATATGTGTACAAGTGCTCGTAATAAAAATAAATGCACATTATTATATAGGCAATAAAAGTGGAAGGAAACAACATCTTCATATCAATTATATCTATAGCTTTAATCACCATCGTTTAACAATGAAGCGTGTAGTGGAGAGGTATAGCCTTTTGCCTTTTAGTCAAAAGGTCACGAGTTGGGAGTCCAGATGATGACACTGCTTAGTGGACATGGCATTTTCATGTTTCATTTTTTTTCAATAAGGAGTGTAAATGGATACCTATAGGATGGATGCATTATGTAATGAAATTGGTAGTGAATTAATAACTGCATGACTAGGAATGTGTACAGATGTCCCCCGCGGAAGTGAAAGAGGTCACACATTGTGTAAGATAGATCTGATGCTTAGGGGAACACCAGCTCAGAAATCCTTGGAATTATGTCCTATATTAGTCCCAATAATAAATGAATGAGAATAATTTAGTACAACATGAAGTAACCAATGAGGTTTAAGGTCATGGAACACTTACCCTCCATGTTCAAAAAAGGTGTGAATACATTCTTTACTTGTTTTATCCCATATTTTGACAGTTTTGTCATCACTGCCCGACACGATCAAGCGACCATCTGGTGACCACTTAGCACAGCGAACCCAATTCATATGTTGGCTTAACGAGAATTGAAACTTTTGCCGATGAACAGTCCATACCTTCATAATAATGTAAAAAAACAATATACTTAAAATACAAGTACATACAACTATAAAACTTGTTTCAGTATTTTACAGCTATGCTCACTTAGATAATTATCCAAATTGATATCTTTATAAAGAATATCATATTAGTAATTGTGTACGGGTGTTAACAAGCAGATTGTAAAGTCAATGGAATCAATTTAAAAATATTAAATAATTTAAGCGATCATTCCATCAATAATGTACCGCCATCATTCTATAATTACCATCACAATATCATCCTCACCACCACAATGATCATTATTGATCCTAAACATGTCACCACATCACAATATCCATCACCACCACCCCCACAACTATCATAATCATATACCATCATACTCTCATCACCACCCCCAATATTACCACCACTAAAACCACCATTTAAAACAAAAAATTTCATGTAATTCAACTTTGGCTGTAATTACGATGTTAATAAAAAAAAAACTGCAGGGAAAGAAAGATAATTAAAACACATACAATCCTCTCATTTATACATGGTTTCATAAATTATATATATGTCAAAACCTAAATATTGCAGGCTTACACAAGTATGATTCATTAATTACTACATTAATTAAATATGAGTAATTACTAATTAATTCCGAATGGGTTTAAAGTGAGTTCCGCTTTCACAGGAACATGAATTACACTTATAACTGGGCTGCAAGGCACTCAATATACGATAGACTATCACAGCCTGTCATCTAAAGAGGGAGATTGCTACCCAGTCAACACGCAATTAGGCAAGAAATAATAGGCTGTATGTTTTCACTATGATTCTGGACACAGTGAATTGAGTAAGAGAATGTTTACAAAATTCATTGTTTATAAAGCAGTAAATACATTGAGTATTATAAACATCTCATAACCTGATCATATAAATATTTGAATGCATATGCGTTGAAGTGTAAAACATTATAGCCTACTATTTTGTTGGCGGACACCGACGCTATATACAAGATTCCAACATTGTTATCATTATTATCTTGCTTAATTGCTGCGTGGACTAAGTATAACAATAGAGCAACAAACCTTCACTGTCTTGTCATCGGAAGCGGTCACCAAATACTGACCGCAATTTGAGAACTCCACGCTCCTGACAGTTGCAGTGTGGGCTTTGTATACGGTTGATTCACCTTTACTGTAAACAAAATTAAAATAATTATTAAAAAACATCTCTCTATCTTTAAGTTTGTTTACAAAGATTTTAAAATGCAGTAATGTGCTCCTTCTACTATTTCGGCATAGTTTTTTTTTTTAAAGGAAAATTAGTTTAATGACAATTAATTATTAGTTCTAAATAATTTCAATACGAAATAATACAATAAATTTAGTGTGGTATGTTGTAGTAGTGGAGTAATGTGGTTTCTTTTTTGGCCAGAACCCTAATAAAATTGGTGGATCTAATAATCATACACAGCACCGAACAGACATAATTTTCAATTCAGTTAACAAAAATGTGGTTTAAAAGTAAATAAAAATAGACTTGAAATTTCTAATGAAAGATTATTGGCTAACATAACATCTTAACATTATGTGTACCTCTATGATCATATGAAAGTATAATTTGTCCACATTTTATGGTTACAATGTTTATAAAGACTGTGTTTGCAGAATATGCGTGCCTGAATATATGGGAGCATGTTGTTCTAGATGGTTGGAGAAGAATTTAAAATTTAAAACACTGTCACATGGATGAATAACTTTCATTGCACATCCCTGTTCCCCTGTAAAATCTCTTAATGTCTACTTTAATTCATATCTAATTTTGAGTTTGATATTTCCATTCTGTTTTTCATTGCTCCCCAGGTAGGATTACTGTGATTAGGCTGACATTCAAAACAAGATTAAACTACCTATGCACTGTTCTTACCATGTCTTGCTTGATTAATTGTGACATTAGTGATATTACTTGGGGCAAAAAAGTATATTTCTTTTGTTTCTTTTTATTAGTTTAAAAAGATACTGTTTGTATTTTTTGCTGATGTAAGGACTTTTAAACTCTGAAAATCCTAAAATTGTTTACCAGACAAGTCTAGGCACAGAATAATTATGTGAGGCGTCATGACAAAATGAACTTTGAAGTCATATTTTCAGTTTCAGTGTTTCACATAGCAAATGTTGTGAGTTGAGTTACAGATTAAATTTGTTTTTTGCTACATTTTGTACTAAGCTGTCTATCAAATTTGATAGAAAAACCAATAGGAGATTTATCAGTTGTTTATCGCCTGGGGAAAATTTCTTCAAAGGTATGTTTTCAGAATTTTAAAATGAACTTAATTTGGTTATACTTAACCTAGGAACTAAATTTAATAAGTAAAAGATTAATTTGTTACTTTTTAAAATTTGATTAAAGTGTTATTTATGCACTATAAATAATAATTCTAATAGCAATTCTGATATTGATTTTTATTTTACAAATTAATTTTCAAATGAATTGGTTTGATATAAATAACATAAAAAAACTTAATTAAAAAGAAATTCAATTATAAATACCTCATACTTATAAATAAATAAATTAAAAATTAAACAAATTAATTAATTATACTATACTTATACAGTAATATACTTACACACTAGGAATCCACAAGCGGACAGTCTTATCTCTGGATGCCGAGGCCACCAGATGACCAGAGGGGGAGAAGTTCACAGATAGAACAGCATCCTAAGATCAAGAACAATCAAACTTAAGTACATGGATACAGTATTCTATTTCATTTACACAAAAACATAAAGGTATTGTTAGTTCCATGTCCATCATAGTATCAATAATATTAACATTTCTATAGTATGAATTGAAAACAATATAAAATTATGTCATTATTTAAAACTATAGAAATGAAATTGAGGAGGATTGATGATGAAGGTACCAAGAGACTTGGTAACAGAGGATCAAGGTTACAAAATGATCAACCCTCACTCAGTGGTGTAACAATCAAGTATATTTGGTATTCGCTAGCCTATGAACAATTATGAATATTAAGATTGCATATTATAAGGCAATGCCTGTATCTGAGAATAATTATGTATGATTTGTAAACCATAACATCAACTTTTATTTTCACATATTCCTGGGCCTTTTTGGACTGGGGACCTGGGGCTTGACCCCCCGAGGGCCCAATAACAATAAATAATAATAATAATAACAATAATAAAAAAATTAATAATAATAATAATAATAATAAATACCACTTTAAATATAGCGCACATATCCACTTAAAAAGTGCTCAAGGCGCAAGAGACAGAAACATGAAAAAATAAAAACTTGAACAAGAAGCGTGGAAATTTACTCATGAAATGTTCTAAGCTAGATCTACCAATAAAATGCTGAAGAAACCAGCATCACCGCTTTGTTTACCAGCACTTTGACGCCCTCAAATGATGAGTTCTCCATTCCACAAGCCCTCAAAAGATCAGCACTTTGTTTACCAGCACTTTGACGCCCTCAAATGATGAGCTCTCCATTCCACAAGCCCTCAAAAGATCAGCACTTTGTTTACCAGCACTTTGACGCCCTCAAATGATGAGCTCTCCATTCCACAAGCCCTCAAAAGATCAGCGCTTTGTTTACCAGCGCTTTGTTTACCAGCACTTTGACGCCCTCAAATGATGAGCTCTCCATCCCACAAGCCCTCAAAAGAGACTTAAGTAGGACACTCACTGCGTTGTACGACCGTCGGACGCCGAATCCACATTTGCTTCCGGCGAGCGATAGACGACGCAACGCCGTCTGCTGATTGTCAGTAGCAATCTGAACGGATCCCCATTAAAAAGACGATCCGTTGGGTCCGTGTCTTCGCGTGCATTCTTCGTCCCGTTGCAGTCGCGTCGCCGTCGCACGACTTTAAATACAGCACAAACTTAAAGGTACATTTATCAATGTATTATTACATGTTACTGTTTAAGTGACTTTCTACTGCACTTTCCTTTTAAAATTGAAAACTTTCCAGAGAGAAACTAAAAATAGACAGAGATTTCAAAGTGAAAGAAATAACTGTACGGAAAAAATGCCAAGTTTTTTTTGCCTCATGTAATCAAAACAACTCCACTATCATAACAAGACCATGAAGGCCTGGAGAAATAACATGTTGTGCCTCAGACCATAAAATATAAAAATTAATAAAATGCCTCCAGCAGCAAATGGTCTTAACTGAATCCAATTGGATGTCTGATGGAAAAAAAAAAAAAAAAAAAATAGATTTTTAAAACATGCCTCTGGTGTAGTATGTGATGCCTCTGACTACTAGTCAAACATTTGTTCTCCCGCCGGTGACTAGGTCAACGCATTGAGGATCCCAGATGAAAGGGTTCACTTGATGCATTTGGCTTATTAAAAAACAGGGTTTTTTTACATTTCTGATTCACAATCACATTTTTTCAAGTATTGTATGGCTAAATCAACCACTTCCACTAATAATGGAATTTAATTAAAAATAATGATTGTTTCTATCTTCATCAAGGTTGCAACTTCACAAAACTATATTCAATCTATAGTATGTTTAACTTTACATTTTTATACAGTAAAATTATAAACAACAATTAAAATTGAAAAAGGCAATGTGTGATGCCCTTAATAACAGTAACAAATAAGCAATCAAATAAAAATACAAAAAAAAAGAATATTTGTATTTGCCTTTAATAATTAATTTACACATTGGTATAAACTGTACTTTCCTTCAGTCATTTTCCTGTCAGCTTCCCAACTACTACATAAATTCTTTCAAGATTGACACTAAAAATAGATGCTAATTTCAAAGTGAAAGGAACTATATATGGCTGTTTTATTAGGATGGTAGCCAGATTAACAACTCAAACAAGGAGGATACTCGGCTACATGAACGTGCCGGCCCATAGCGACACCACAAGTCGCCAATCTAATTACCAAGTGGGAAGGGATTAATTACTAGAAAGTTATTGCGGTTAGCTGTACAAATCACAAACGGAAGCGAGTGAGTAACGCAATTTCAGTGTATACCGTACCAGTACCTAGTTCCTAGGTGAATGTAGTTCAAAATTGTACAAGGAGAAATTATCAAAATAGATTGAGCATTTTTGGAAATTTCGCTGTTGAGAATTATGAACTAAATTAAAGTCATTCTTGATTAATTAAAATAGAGTGGAATCAGTGATAAGAAAGAATCATAATTAATGACATTCCTTGTTTAGTTTTAAGTCTGTCAAATAATTAAAGGGATGAAAAATGTAATTGATAATTCCTGCCTTATTATATTAACCACATGGTAATTATTGTGATATACTGTAAACTATAAAATGCTTCTTAGTCCAACATCATACAGACTTCATCATCACAGTTTTAAATTACTGAATCTCATACTGACCTTTTGATCAACCCAACATAACTATTTTACATACTTCTGAATCCTGTACTGTGCAGACCACCTGTCAATGTTCTCACATGTACAGATTCTGTCATTGCTCTACAGGTTCATTCTAAATCTTAAACAAATCTCACACACCTTGTTTGTACAAGTTCAAACTCTCATAAAAATCTCACAATCACTATTCTAGTTCTGAATCTCATGCAGACCATATACTATAGTACTGTAGTTCCACTGGAAATCTTTTTTAGTTTTTAGTCATTTTTAATTTCTAAATCTCATACAGACCTCACACTACTATTCTAATTATACAGACTTAAATAAAACACAGATCTCACAATCATTATTTTAGCCCAGAATCTCATGATTTTGCAGTCTTTGTTCTCTTTCAAACCTCAGTAACAGTCATCTCATACACTCTACATACTTTTTATAGTAACAATATTCGAGTTTGGAAACTCACACAAACATCACCCATATTTTTCATATAGACCTCAGTTGTTAAATCTCATACATATCAGTTATTCTCACAAATGTAATCTCACGACATACAGACCTCAACAGCTACTCTTAAAAGCTTCATAATGAGGGCACAGGTTGAATATAAGCTAGATGAAAAAAAGAAAAACTCGGACCTTCTTGATTTGAACTTTGTTGATATTGGGTTTGTACATTTTGCCTAACGTAATACCAAAACAATTACCATGCTTCTCGTGTCTACATGCTTTGATTACACATGCACGTTCTAGTTCAGGAAGCGTAGAGAGACCGCCCTAAAGACAGGAATACTATCATTAAAGTCTATTCACTATCATAACATAAACCTTGACCATGGATGGCAACGGAATAGATAAACAAGGTCAGAGGAGAAATAGAAACAGACAGATTTTAGGTGGATTGGAAAAGATGAGCATGCAGTTTGACTTAATTCTACATCACTGAAACCATGAAACTTCCTTCCATTGATATGACAAGCCCAATATATCAGGCACCAGAAAGCCTCTAACCTTGATCCCGGCCCTAAGTACTATGTATTGAAAGTGTATATTCAGTATAAACAAAGAATAAATAAAAAAATACATTTTGCCTAATGTAATACCAAAACAATTACCATGCTTCTCGTGTCTACATGCTTTGATTACACATGCACGTTCTAGTTCAGGAAGCGTAGAGAGACCGCCCTAAAGACAGGAATACTATCATTAAAGTTTATTCACTATCATAACATAAACCTTGACCATGGATGGCAACGGAATAGATAAACAAGGTCAGAGGAGAAATAGAAACAGACAGATTTTAGGTGGATTGGAAAAGATGAGCATGCAGTTTGACTTAATTCTACATCACTGAAACCATGAAACTTCCTTCCATTGATATGACAAGCCCAATATATCAGGCACCAGAAAGCCTCTAACCTTGATCCCGGCCCTAAGTCTGCTAATTACAATATGGAACCATAATGAGTGAGGTAATTAAAAAACAAGAAATATATATTTATGAATCATGAAACAAAATGGGCAAGGCTGAGAGACTGTCACTAAACTCCACCAAAATAAACTAATAGTAATGCAGGGTTCCACTATATAGGGAATACAATAATTGCTTTTTAAATGTTTATACCACGCTGTATGTGGTCCACATCAACGTTGCTGTTGATTTATTGAATAAAATATAATTTAAAAGTTGTAGCTTCAGGGTAACCTAAAGTGCCAGTACAGGAGTCTTGGCGTCAATGTAGGCATTATATTTTAATGTTAATGTTACTTCCAATTGTAAATTGCTGATCTGTTTAAATCTTTTATTAGATTTTTATTTTTATATTTTTTTCTATGAAGATGTTTAATATAAGAGTGCCATTTGATAGTGCTTGCACTTTAGGCAATCCTGAGGTAAGGAACATTCCGTTTACAATATGTTTTGTCTTGTATTGCTTTTTACATGGATATTGAACAAATAAATGTCAATCAAGATTCTACCAACTCTCGTAAGTCTCATACCTGGGCCATTTACAAAGAGCAACATAGTACACTCTTCATAAAAGTGAGCAGGGGATTATCCCCTGGTGAATTTCCCCATTCTACACCTGGTATGACAGTGCACCCCACAACATCAGGTCTCCAGCCTAAAGTTATTATTCTAGTGATTCTTGACTAGGGTGAACTGAGTTTATTTATATGAAACTTGCTAAATGAAACATGATGCACGATGTGGACTATTACAAAAATGACAGTTCAATTTGCTAAGTTTGGCTAAATTCTAGCATTGTATTCAATTTCTGTATTAAAAATATGTTTTCATCATAAATGAGACAAAATTAAAAAAACATGTGTGTATATGTGTTTACAATTTACAATGACAGACACCTGCATGTAATATTTCATGTGACATGGATCATACGCCAGAATTGTGGCGTCTAACCAGAATTGTGGCGTCTGAACTTGCACTGTGAAGTCGGTGTTTTTCATACTATCGCTGTGTGTCTTGCAACCATCTATGTTGTAATGTATGTTTTTTTTGTTTTTGTAATTTGTTGTATTTTTGTATGTTTGACTGATCAGCTTGTTAATATTTAATTTCATGAAAACTGCAATATTGCTTATCAATTCATATTTGTATCCTGATTTTATAATGATATTGCATAAACTACTTTGAGTTTTATCATGAAATTGTATAAACTATAGAGGGGGTACATTCAATCTGTATTGAAAAGGTAAATAAGTGAATGTAAGTTTATTCAATCTTGAATAAACATTACAATTGTATAATACAATTAAAAAGAACAATCAAAGCCTTGAAGTGTGATGAAATACAATAATGATAATAATTAAATAACAATAAAAACAATAACAATAATAACAACACTAATGAAAATGACAAATACTAAACAAAAACATTAGTTACAAATACATACCAACTTGTAAAGCAAACATTACTTAGATATTGAGGGTGCATGGTTACATTTAATTTATTCATCAAGCTTGTCGGTGTTGGGTTTTGGTCAAATAGGTGTAGGGGGAAAAGGGAAAACTCTCTACCTTGTGTCCAACGAATCTGTATGCTCTCATCTGTGGCTTGAAATTCCACACCATAAGGCATGAATCCATTGAACCAGATGCTGAAAATGACAATGTTTTTAGAGATAAAAGAAAAGATAGAAAAAATATTCTGTTAAATTTTAAACGTTAAAAATGTGTTGATGGGTTTTGGATTTTTAATTAATTTGATTTAACATAAAATGACATTCAAATATTTGCAGATGATTTCATTGAGCCTGTAGCCATCCTTAGAGAAGATACCATTAAAGGGTTCCACCAGTTCTCAATGCCACTTCAATAAATTTAGTGGTGTTACAGTGTGCTCCCACGTTGAAAATAGAAAAACCCTATTCCTCGCCATTCACTGATTTGCTATAAATCAGCAATAAATACTACTGTATAATAACAGTATTACTGGCATCACCGGACATTACTTTACCAGATAGCTGTTATCATATTATTAAAATTTAAAATGATATAAATGATGCTAGATTTACCTAATTGCTTCATATTTGGATTAAAGTCAACGCTTGTAATTGTGTCTCGATGACCTTTGAAATGCCTCTCCATGGTCGGATCCTCCTAAAAAATGGAATTATTAAAATTTTAATAGTTAGCACAAATCCTTCCTTTTATGGCTAAATTTGAGTTACAAAGTATGGTATGTATCTAATTTATATTTCATGAAAAATGTATACTGTATGTCCACAGATTCACATTATATTTTTTCATTAAACTTTCAGAAGCTGTACATTGGAATCTAAAAAGGGGGAAAAAAAACGCATTCATTCAAAACAGGAACACCCATTGGCAATAATAAATGAATATTATATTTAGTGGAACCATTCTTGATTCAAAAGGCAAAATTATAGTCAGCAGGGTGCTATTACTACTGTTCAAGAATCCAGATAGCCTGCCTAGGCTAGACCATGGTACATGAGTTTGATCAACAACAAAATAACACTTTATTCATCATAACAAAAAAACTATTTTTCCCTTGTTCCTCTACCAGACTGTAAAGTAGGGCCTGTGAGGGGAATAACTGCAATACTGTGGCAAAGACAAGCCAAACCAGTCAATCGTCTAAACTAACCTTTATCTATACATCATGCTATGCATTACAGTGCAGTAGCATAGCACTTTCATGTTGTTACTGTTCCAGGTACCGATAATATACAGATTTCTCTTATTATAAAGTACAAGTTATGTTTTATAAAGAAGTATAGTATAGTAAATCATGTTTTTAACACAGGAAACTCTCATACGGTAACTAAAACAATGCTAGTCCAGAGTATTACTAGTACTACTGCACTGTAATGCATATACCTATTTTAATACACTACTTACAGTAGATAGGCTTTTCTTTATCCATCTTGATTTCAGAGGTCAAAAACATTTTTCAATTTTTTTAAAATCATAGACTGTAGACTAGTCTTTTAAGAACATTTTGGTAGAAAACTTTTTGAATACGACGCCCCGTTATGGAGTTATGATTTTTTAAATAAAATGTCAGAAAATCAGCCCAAAAGCTTATCTTATTATTTCTGTTGGTTACGTACCGCTGATTCGCAATGTTTGTCATCACTTCACGATGTCTACCAATTCGTGAAAAAGGCCTATTGTTACTATCAAGATCAAGATACCTACTAGTACTAGCCTATATTAGCCAACTGGGCCTAGGCCTAGGGCCTTTGGCAGGATTCACCACACAACCAGGAATTAACCAGCAGAGACAGAGAGGCCCTGTCTGGCTGGGGCCGGGCCTCCTGGCCTAACCTGCCTGGGCCTAACTAAAGACTTGCTTTATTTTAGATAATAATGAAGCAATAGCAAAATGAACGTTTTCATATGTTTCTTTCATTTACTTACTAAAACACTAGCCATTATTGTTGCTATGTTTATAAGACCCCAAAATAGTGTAGACCGGAGGAATTTCAAACACAACACAGCGAAAGTTTCCTTTTAAACTTGGCGGTTACGCATGCGTAAGGTTTCCAGATCGTCTTGTTTGTTTGTAGCCCAATGCTAAATGATGCCTTGTTAAATTCCGAATTGTTTTATAATGTATAATAAACTAAAAACAAAATTATTCTTTAAAAAGAGCCTGTGCACGGTGTACATCACAATTATATGCGAGCTATTACTATTATTAGAACTACAGTATTAAATTAATTACAGTAAGTAGAGTAAATATGCTTTTTCGGGCAACTCCTTTTAGGAGATGCATCAGCGTGATCATGGAGTGCTGGTTTGTCTAAAACATAGAATAAAAATGTGGTCAAAATCTTAAAAGAAGTCACGGTAGTATAATTACTGTATACTGTAATATGCATATGTTTTCTTTGCCTGGTTAAGATACATAAAAAAAAACAATAAGGGGCCTAGCTAGCCTAACCCCCCCTAGGCCTAGCTAGAAGTAGGCCTATCATTGACATCAAACTGTTCTTCTCTAGCCTAGCCTAGCAAATCCTAGCCTAGCGGGCTAGTACTGTGGTGGGGTGTATCGGTAGGCTAGGTTTAGGCCCTGGCTAGTCTAGGCCATATAAGGGTAGGCATTCTGCTGATTGCTTGGGCTAGGTAGCTACCCTCGGCAGGCGGCTAGGCCTTTAATTTATTAGCTGATGGTGATGCCGAGTATGGAATGCCAAAAGTATTGGCAATTTTTATATTTAAAACGCCTTTTTTAAAGTATTCTGCAACCAGTCAATTCTACACTTCCAACTCTCTCACACTCTTCTCCATGCCCATCCACTTGCATGAGCATCTACAATGTATTTTCTCACACATCATAGAAATGTTTATAAAACTTAAAATGTATAGGCAGCGATTATACCCTAAATTTCTTAATGCCCAAAATTGTGACTACCAGCTGTAGTATTCAGATTGCATAGTGACTTAAAATTATGATTATACTTCCAGATATGCCCATGAGCAAAAACCAGCCATGGAAAACCAGGTCACCAAAAAAAGTAAGGAAACACAAAAGGATGTTGAAACCTCTAGCAGTCATCACAGAACCAGTTCATCAAAGACACATTTTAAAGTTGTCCACTTCCTAATGGAAGCTGCTGTGAAGTTGAGCTTGGAGTCTGTGACAGTCGCGTCTGCCTGCACCTTCTATCATCGGTTCTTCCATGTTAGGAAATTGAGTAATTATGACCCTTACCTAATTGCAGCTACATGCATCTACCTGGCAACAAAGGTAGAAGAACAGCCAATCAGGATGAGAGATATAATTAACGTTTGTCACAGGTGTGTTAACCAATAATATACATAAATTCTGGTAGTGATTATTAGTGAACTCTTCTTTTTTTCTTTTTGAAGTTTAAAATTGAAGCATTGATGCAAGTTTTATCTAGTAGCTGAGTATTTGGCCAAGAGGTAATATTTCCAGGACCAGTGATTTATGGACTTTCATGTCTGTGCTGGTTCCGCTCTGCCTACCATGTCAATGTCGTTTTTAATGTCTTTTTTTTTTTTTTTTTTTTTTTTGTCATATGTAAAGGTAGATAAATTGAATAAAGAAAGAAACAAACAAACAAAGCCAGCAAACATTGTTTTTAAATTGGCAATCAGATAATGATATGTTCCTCTTCTTTACTAGGATCTGCCACAAGAACGCCCCAAAGCTGGAGATAGGACCAGAATACTGGGAACTACGCGAGAGCATGGTTAACTGTGAACTACTGATAGTCCGAGTGTTTCAGTTTAAACTCAATGCGGACTTACCTCACAAGTATCTGTTGCATTATTTAAAGTCATTACGTGACTGGATGGACACTGATGTGTGGCTGACCACTCCGATTGCCAGGACATCGATGGCAATTCTTTGTGACAGTTTCCACACAGATTTATGCCTACGAATGAAGCCACAACACCTGGCGGTAGCTTCTATCTACTTTACTCTTCAGTGTTATGGTGTAGAGGTTCCTTGTAATTTACAAGCTGAAAAACAATGGTGGCAGGTAATGTTCTTTATTTATGGTAGAATAATTGTGTTGGTAATAATGTTAGAGGATATGCGCCAGAGATTCCCCTATGAGGGGCCCTAGGTATCTGTAATGGTGAGGTACACCTAACTGAATCCCACCATAGTTGGGGCTGAAATGAGTAAATTTTGACCCAAACTGACACTTTGAGACTATAAAAATACAAATTGTATAAAACAGTGTTGCCTGACAAAGTGATTGGCCGCTTCCCATTCAGGGTGTGGGGGTCCTGTGAAACCCCACTGACCCGTCACTGGAGCCACCACTGCTTGGTACTCATATACTTATTTAACAAATTTACCACACTTTAAGCTGCTCCAAAATCTTGAACTCTGTCCATTTCCACATTTATGTCAGACTTAAAACTCATCTGTTCTCATCCTTCTAACTGTTTTGTTTTTGTTTTTTTTAAGGTTTTTGTTCTTGTTTTTTTATTCATTTGGTTTTTTTTAAGGTCTTCTGTGATGATGTCAGTGAAGAATCAATCCAGAACATCATACTGGAGTTAATTGATGTCTACCAACAGGAAGTGCAGGTGTGAAGCAATTACAAGGAGCCTCAACTTGAGCAATATATGGTGTATGCCAGGCCAGTAAAATATACTTTATGGGAGAACCTCCAAGTATATTTATATGCAATATATGATGAAGACCAGGCTAATGAAAATGCAGACCACCAGGCCAATAAGACTGAACTGAAACTACACTCCACAAGTGTCATTTAGACTTATAGGGCTTCAAGGATCCTAAATGATTGATTTTGATGGACTTTATCAACCTACAATATAGTTAGTGGATGGAAGGCAATTCACAAAAGACCTCAATTCACAAGTATTGAACATTTTCCGCCAGTATTTGGTTCACTGGTTGGTGAACACAAGCTAATAGATGCAGGTACTTGATCAGATGGACGTTGAGCTCGTTCTTTTTGGGTTGTAAAATTAACTTTTACATCTACGGCCATGGGTTCGAAAGATATTCCTCCTTCTTTTATTTCCCAGATTGCATGTAAAATAAGAGTCTGTGAATGAATGTATTTGTTAGTAAATGTACGTTGTTCATTTTCCTGTTAATTTTTGGCAGTGTTTGCCTTCCGTATTATAAATGTGTATTTATAACCAGAGCCTTGCAGGCGTCAACGTTCCTATGCATGACACAAGCCTTAAAAAGTATATATACATATGTATATATATATATATACGTGTATATATATATATATATATATATAAATAATATATAAATAAATAAATATATATAAATAATATATATACATATATATATACATATACATATATACATATATATATATATATATATATACATATATATATATA